ATAAATACATGTGCATGTCTCATACACGTTTAAATAAAAACTGATAAATATATGCACACAAACACAAATTGTTCACAGAGGCACAAACCTATGCCTATGCAACACATAGAATGAGCCTCATCGTAACACACATGGACCCACTCTGACTCACTAAATGGACCTGCATCTTACATGGGTGTGTTGGGGTCCTTCTGTAGGGTAGGAATCAATGAAAGGCAGTAAACAGGTTGATGTAAAAGCCCATAACTCTGAGCTGATGCGTAAAAACTTAATCCAAGGTAAAAAGCCTGCAGAGGGAGAGACAGCGGCTGAAGGCTGAACATAAACAGCAGAGTTGAAAGAGGGACATGAAAAAGGCAGTATTCGCTTGGAAATTAGTATTTTTCCGTCATCTGACAACAGAGAAGAGCACAATTGACTGGCTTATTTTTTTTATATCAATCGTCCACTGCATCACCCTCGTTCTCCTTTTAATTGAAAATCAATGATAAAGAGAGTTTATATGCCATTCCTGTGATATATACGTTACCAAAACATGTTCAAATCCACACGCTATTATAATATTATATTCATTTCAAGTCCGTCCTCTAAAGTTGCAGGTTCGCCGCGCTCACCTAGCGGCTCACAGTTAGCCAAAGCCATCAGCTGGTCAAACCAAAGTAAACAATGCGGACAAGATTAAGCATGCAGATAGATAATATGGATTTTTCTACGGTTATCTAACGTAGTGGATCAAAGTGGCAAGTGGAGCATTATCTGTTTGATGCAACATTATACTCGCTTAGTGCAGATGGATATGCATTTTTCTGTTCGTCTGGAACTGTATGCTGTGGTATTTCTATCAGCCGTTTCATGTGACTAGACAGTCAACGGGATCGTATTCTGATTCTGGAGACACCTCTGCCCTTCTCTTTGACACAAACACTCACATACTTTAAAGTAACTACTACCTTATTTGATTTAAAAAGGAGTTAAGACATGGCATCAGTGGTATTTTAGAGTAACCTAAAGACCGTGGCCAGGCTTTTGTTGAAGAAGATCACCGATGCTATGTCATTAGTGGCCTTTTTTTGTGTAACTAATGATCCCATTTCGATAAATGGACCAATATAGCTCTCAGCTCATTTTACATGACCCGTGTGCCCTTTATAGAAATACTAGTTAATAATACTTCTCCTTGGCTGGATATTCTGCTCACATTAGCTGCTTAAGCTGGAAGGTTCAGGACTTACTGTAAACAGGGCCTGTCAAGAGTCCTGGAGCCAAAACGTTGTTGTTGACTCACACATTCTAGAAACCAAACAATGCAAGAAACCATATACTCCTGCAGAAAGTCCAACATTTTTGTTTTGGGATGAGACAAACACAGAAATAAAATTATTTTTGAAGTTGTAGACATCAAACACAGTGTTTTGATGATCAAGCCCAACCAAACGGAGGGCTTTTTAACTGTGTGTGTGAAGTGAGCTTACTGTTCACTTCATAAAAGGGATTATTAATGTACTCCCTCAGGTTATAGTTGTTTTTCTCCTTGTTAATACAACTTCACATCTTTGCAGTGTGTGTGCGTGGGTAGAACCATAGTGGACGGAAACGGCTCAGTGTCTTAAAATCACAGCTCTCATGGTCTCTTCTCGAGATACGTATTTATGTACATGTGTAGCTTCATTCACTTTGTATGGTTTGCTCTTTCCTTTTTTTAAATATTTCTTGGCCCATTGTGGTGTGTGAGTGTGTGTGTGTGTGTGTGGGTGTTCTCATTTCCCCTTTCCCTTCGCTACCTTTCTCAATCTGGGTAATCAAATGCATTAGTATCAATATTGCATGGAGAAAGGAGCTGAATTTAAAGCTTGACCATGTCAAAGTGAGAGTCCCTGATAGCCAGTGACTGCCACTACTCAGTGGAAATTGTGCTGCCATATTGGCTGTAATTACTGAAGCCTGGCGACTGGTTAATATCTGGAGTCATGGCCAGATTAAATCTGAAAAGAAAAGGGTCCTCGCTTCAAAATGTATTCATTGCCCATCAGTGGGAATAACCTAGACTCTAATGGATAGACGTTCACAGTAAGGCTGTCAGTCTGAAACAAAAAGATGAGCAGCACTTATTGCATTTCTTCACCTGAATACGCTCAAAGCTGTGAATTCCACCGGATCGTCAAAAGCCTTGTGATCAATGGATCAACGTAATTCCATTGTTCACTCACCTTTTAAATATGGTTTGGTGGACCAACTTCTGGTGTCACACAACTGGTCTTCTATGGTAGCGCTAACCTCTGTACAGCTGCACTGCACACTTGGCAGTTGTAAGTTAGTTACTTCACTGTAGGGGCAACTTGATAACACACTTTGCCATGGAAACGATGCCAGTGAGAACTTGATTGCGCAGCTCTGTTGTCACAAGATTGCTGCTAATAATAATGTCCCCCCTCATTACAAAGGCCAACAGATCTAACAATCGAACAGTATTAACTTACAGTTGCCAGCAGTGGCAAATGAGTTCGTAGTGCTTTTACTTTTCCAATGCTCGTCTTGTGAGAGCAAAAACAATTACTAACTATTCCTAATTAGCTTGATTTCCCCGAGAAACTAGTCAATTGTTGCGGTTGTCCTCATCACATTGAAATCCTCAAAACATGACCATTAGCAGTTTCCTCTCAATCACAGCCTGTAATGTGGAAGCAGCTGAGGTAATGGTTTATCAATTGATTGGCCTCTCTGCTCGCCTTGCCGGAATGCTCGATGCTGCCCATTTCTAAAGGCAAAGTGATGAATTATTTTAGCGAGAGTTGACAGGTTTTCCCACGGAGGTGCTAATAGCAAGGTTGAAAGTGTGCTTTGATGCTATTTTAGCTTCCCCAATCCCTCAGGGATCAGTAAAGAATATATGTAGGCATCTACTATATATCTTTCAGTCTAAAATTCTTTATCTATTCCTATTTTTTTATTTTTACAGTTCAGAAAAGTCGGCGTTGAGCTGTGTAGACAGTGTCTGTTGTTAAACTGGAGCACGCACTTGTCCTTAGGTCATATTCGGCAAGGCCGTTCAACAACAATAGCTGTTGTAATTGTGTTGTGAAGTTTGTACAGCAACCAGAGGTGGAGATAGAAAACCATGCCCTAAAGGGAGGGCCATAAATCATAACCTAGGCACTGTGTCAGGATAGATAGAGTAATTCCCTACAGGCATGGCAAGATTCCCTCTTCCTCCACCAATGTTTACAGTCACAACAATAGGAGCATCATTCAGAGGTCTGTAGATAATGTGATACTCCACCATTCTCTCTCGCTCTATTCATGTTTCTGTATTTCCCTCAGTTCTCACCAGTGACATCACCTGCTCTGCAGGCCAAGAAAATGGGGGAGGAAAAAAAAAACAAGCAAGGACACGCATGTTGGTCGTGTGTGTGTGTGTGTGTATAGTATTGCGTTGAAAGATGAGGTGAGCTTCTAAAACACACCCACTCTTTTTTTTTTTTCCTGGCACGGCGTCGCCACAAAGGACTCATTGTTGATCTATCCCTTTGTGTATTTGAATGTGCGGGTGTGTCATAAAATGGGTTTGCTGCGTGTGTTTGTGGGTTTTATTTTAAGCGTGCCTGCTGCTGCTGCTGCTGCTGCTGCTGCTGCTGCTGCGTGTGTCTTGTCTGGTTCACCTACGCCGCAATTAGCTGTGGTTGTCTCGGCTGCTAGCACTGTTGTCGGCCATGATAGTGGGTTCATCAAAGTTGCCTTGATTTCTACTCCGCATAACATGATACTATTAACATTACAATGTGTATTTATATATAGGTAATGGTGTTAGTGAGGTAGTTTATATTATGACTATATATTCTGCTATTCCATTGGAATCGTTTGCCTGTAAATTTGTCTGTCTCACGTACTTCTGATCCTGATTGCATCTGAATGATGATGAAATTGTAACAGTATATATATTTATACTGTGTATATATATATATATATATATATATATATATAGCTATGCTATTTTAAAAGTAGCCTACATTCAGTTCACATTTCAGCCATTGACTTGCAGATAAGGATATTCTGAAGTATTCAGAGATAGTTTGAAAGTGGCTGTTTTGTGGATCCAAACCGTAAACCTGCGCAGACAGAATATCACCTTAACCTTTAGGTTGCCCTGCTTTAGGGCATCTGCAATGAACTGCACACCGTCTGCACAGTTTGTACTGTATAGTACCCTGTTAACCACCCAGTGTGCAGGTAATTAATCTCACTTCTAGAGAGTCACCCTCACCCTTCCTGTGGGCTCAGCTGAGTAGTAGCATCCCTGTAGCTGAGAGGAGTTTAGTGTCTTGCACAGGGACAGTAAAGCAGATCAGATGCTGACAGAGGTGCTTGGACTTGGCTCCTGACATCTGGGTCCCACGAGACGGAACATTTTTGTGTTTACAGCTTGATTGCTGACACAGACGGCAATCTTTTGTCAAGAAATTCACAAAGTCATTACATTCGTGCCATGGATCGCTTACTTCTTTCTTTCCTTGTCTCTTTATTCACGTCTTTTTTAATTGAAGAGTATGTATAACCACTTGGTGGTGGCTGTATGCTGCGCCAGACATATCAATGAGATGTGTGTAGGTGTATGTGTGTGTGTCTGAGGTGGGAGGCGTCCCTATCCCTTTTGTGCAGCTTGGAGGATTAATGGCAATTTGACTAAAACAAAGAGACGGTGCCTGGAATATCATTGGGTGTCTGTGTAATTACAAGGCAATGAGATAAGCAAATAACGACAAGATCCTGCGATTAGGAAAGAGAAAAAAAAAGACAGAAAACAGTGACTCCCCTGCTAATTAAGGGATGTGAGAGGAGGCTGGTTGAGAGATAGGGAGGTTACAGGGTTTGGGCTGCGTGACACTTTGCTTCCACCCTATCACTTCCATTTAATTGTCACCAGCAATGGTGTTGTGACAAGCTCCATGCCCTAGTCTGTGTTTTTATCCAAAGTCTAATTTTCCTTCTCTTTCTTTCCTCTGCAGAGTGCCAAGCCGTCCTGCGTGAAGACCCCAACCTTCCCTGCGCAGTCGGGGCCTTGGCTCTCCGGCCGGGTCAAAGATCAGTCCCGCCCCGCCCCTCCCTGCCCCCCGCCCCCCCTCCCTACCGGAGCCAAGATGGCCGACGGCGGTGCTCCTCGCCTCTCCTTGCCACTCCTGCTGCCCGTCGCCACTCTGCTGCTATCGCTGTTGCTCACCAGCTCCCACGCCTTATGTGAGTATCAAGACACCGACTAGCCATGCTGTGGAAGATGGCGAGTAAACGAAGCGTTGACATATACGCTCAAGCCTTTCACAGAGATTCTTCAGCTGCTTTTTGATACTGTCCTTTTGAGTTTGCCTTTGGTGAGCGTGTAAAGGCATGTATCTCAAATTGTTGATGTCTCATCTTGGAGAGGCTGTAAAGGTATGTTGTTTATAGGATGCCTCTGCCTCAGCCAAAGAAAGTAAGAATTTCACTACAATATCACGAGGTTTGACTTGAAGCGGCGATCTTACATGCGCATTAGTGTTTGTATGGTACTGTAGCTGTTGATAGACAGTCCGCTGTTGAAAATACTGAACATTGGATTTTTCCCGATATCAGATTTTTCTGTGATACAGATCAGCACCACCTGAGCATTTTTTTTTTTAAATCATGGATGTTTCAAAAATATGAACACCTAAAGACATGATTCCTGTCTGCATAAATTGTCCTCCATAACTTCCCATGTCAGTAGCAGAGGAACGTCATAGTCTCTTATCCCACCCTGTCAACTCCTGCTTAGGATTTGTTCTGCACCATTTCCCTGTTAAGATGGGCTTAGAGCAGCATTAAGGAAACAAAGCAAGAGGAGGCTCTGCAGAGAAATAGAACAAGAGTGATGGCGAGGTGGGGAGGCTCCCCCTTGGGTTTCATTGTTTGTAAATCCTTTATGTGTGTGTGTGTGTGTAGGTGTGTTTCTGAGAGCATGTGTGATGTGGTGAATGTGTGTGTGTCTGAATGTGTTTTTGTTTGTGTCTAAGGAAAGACTGAGCTATGACCTTGTCTCATTTTGATTGGATCTAATCTCATTATCCTCCTCCTCTCTGTCTGTGCATCCCTCAACAAGTCACAACAAAGGGGGGAGAGGCAGCTGGATTAACTAGTTCTAATTCGAGTGTCTTCATACAGCAGTTAAATAACAAACGAGGTTTGGACCAAAGTGGACCAAAGTGCTTTTTCACAAGTGGAGCAGGTATACACTTTAATGTGCATGCAAATTAGCAAAAACACAAGAAGCTACATTCCGGTTCGAACAAATTGCAAAACTTGATTGAGTCTGCAAAGACATAATGAAATGAGGAAGATCCAAGCAATGAGACAGAATCCATAAAAAGAAATGTCAGCAGGAGAATATAAATCTGTCTCAAAATGGCACTTAAAAATGTTATTGAGCAGATGTGACCGTTTTGGCATACTGCTCCACAGTCTTTATGCCGCAACACAAATTTTGTGGAAGTTGAGTCATGCTAGATTTTTCCGTCTTCGGTCATCTGCGAGGTAAATGCATTTTTTCTTCTTGTTCCCTCTCTCTCTGTCTTTTCTTTTGTCTGAGTTTCTGACATTTCGCTGAGTGTGTTCTCGGGTAGTTCAAGATATCACGAGGAGGACTTGATTTTTTTCTCACGTTGAAACAGAGCTGTCTGCTCTTGATTGCCTGGCGGTTTGAGTGTCTGGTAGCATAATTTGAGTATCTTTCAGCTCAGCTGGCTGAAAACATTTGAAATTGCACTCAGACAGATGTCAAACAGATGTCTTTGTTCCCTTCCTTTTTGCCTTTTCTGTCTCACCGACTGCAAGGCCACACACTCGTGTTCAGACTCAAAGGAAAGCAAAGGTGCAAAAGCTCCATCTCTTAACGTGTTGCATATGAAGGCAGCTTGTTGCATGTTCTTCTCTTTCAGGTGGGTTTTTTTTTTTTCCTCCACCTGAACTGTTTCACAGACTCTGTTTGCTCACTCTGGTTTGAATGGCATTCAGTGCAGTCTGCTTCATCTTTAAAGGAGATTAGCTCCACTCTCTTACACAGACACACGCACACACACACATACACATAAACACACACACACACACACACTTACAAATACACTAACAGCAGGGCACTCTCTCCATCTGTCAGTATCTTCCAGTCTTTGTCTGCTCCGCCTGTGGATATGATCGCTGTTTTTGTCGAGCTATCCCACTCTCGCTCTCTCCTACTGTCTCATTGTCTCTTGCCCATGTTCACGCTTTTTTCCAATTTTGTTTTGCTGGTCCTTTTCCCCTCCTGGCCACTCTCTCTCTCTCTCTCTCTCTCTCACTCTCACTCTCTCTCTCTCTCTCTCTCACTCTCACTCTCACTCTCACTTTCTCTCTCTCTCACTCTCACTCTCTCTCTCTCACTCTCACTCTCACTCTCACTTTCTCTCTCTCTCTCGCGCTCTCTCCCCCTCACTCTTCTTTCTCTTTTTGGGAACACACAGCATTGCCCCACAATTATGTCTGGAAATGTATGCATGCACTCACATGTTTCTTCTTTTGCTCTCTCTGTCTTTCACACCCACATGCACACCCACACACACACACACACACACACACACACACACACACACACACACGCACAGCCCAGGGGTGCAGTTGTCCAATTATCCACCAGGTGGACCGAGAGGACTGGGGGGAGGGGACAGAGACACTGACCCCCACTTCGTATCAACACTTTCTCCTTCTCACACGCATACACACACCCACGCACACAGTGGATGCCAACCTTTTTTGCAGAAAACACCAGCTGAAAGCATGATGTCATCCCTGCCTCTCTCTCTGCCCTCCATTCCCTTCCGTTTAAACTCATAAATCACATTTTTAATCAAAAGAGAAAGAAAGTTGCCACAATAAATCCTGCCACCTCAAACCTTAATAATACTTGGCTGCCTGTCTGTGTGTGTATGTCTATATTTGTCTGCATGTTTGCATGAAATGTGTGTGCAGGTGTGTGTGTGTGTGTGTGTGTAGGTAGAAGATCTATATTTGTACATGTTAATAAATGGCAGTGTTGTGCATTAATTTAATGAGAAAACCCCAAAGTAATTGTGTTGTTGTGTAATAGTCATACATGGCCTGCACAGCAGTTTCCTGCACATAAAACAGTGGTTGACACACACACACACACACACACACACACACACACACACACACATACACCCACACACAGGAGGGAAAGAAATATTTTCATTGGACAAAACCAGCAAGAATACATGCAGGTAGACAGACAGGTAGACAGACAGGTAGACAGGCAGGTAGCCCGGCCAATAATTACATTTGGGCCACATTAAATAATTGGATGGGCTTATTGCAGTCCTGCGACAGCCACATATACCGGGTGTTTTTCCTTTTTTGTCAGAGTATTTGATTGATTGATTGATTGCTGCTGGGATGATTTCAACAAATATAACAACAACGAAAAACAAAACACAGTGCCCACCCTAGCTTTGAATGTCTCTATCTTATAATATTTGTTCGTATTCAGATTTCTGTTTTTGTTCAGGAAGATAACGTTAGTTGTCAGCGTTCTTTCTGGCTTTTCACGTCAGTGTACCTTCTTCCTTCTTTCTTTTGGCCTTTCTGAGGTCTCAACAGTAGCATCCTTGGCAAAGTACTCCTAATAGTAATTGGCCAGAACCCACAGTGATGGGGTGAGGGTGTTCAATTATTTATATTCCTTTGAAGCTGCCAATTTCAAAAAAAAAAATGAAGCCCCTTAGTGGAGCCGTTATTTTCTCGTTCTTGTTCCCAGCGCCTCTCTGTTTCTCTCTCCTTGTTACTCTCAATTTCTCTCTTGTCTTTCCCTCTCCTTCCCTTACTTTCATACTTTCCAGTCAAATTCAGTTTGAGCCAACACTGTCAAGTTAATTCTGTCAAATTCAATGTTGTGTGCACCCTGCTGTTTGAATGCTTGGCCCCATGCTTTACTCCATCGACTGTTTTTCTGAGTTACAGGCATCAATCCCTGCCTCAAGTAGCCTGTTGGCACCGTCTACATCCTCAGAGTTGTTGTTGGTTGCTGTACACTTACAAATGGTAGAACACAATTTGATTTACTGGGGCAAGAAACAATCTTTCCTGCTTGTTCAGTGTCCTTTGGAAAGATCTTAAACTCTGATTTTAGATCCACTTTAAAGTCACCAGTTCTCTGATGTGAGCTGACGGTGCATGTGAGGACACAGTGCTTGCTTGCTGGACGTGTAAACATGTTTACCGCACAAGACGACCGAACGGTGTTGACAAGAAACGTAACGTAATGTACTTCATTGAGATATACCTCCAATAGCACAGTTTTTGTCAGCACAATGGATCAAATAGCTTTCCTCCAAACTTGCAGCCACATCGCGGGTGATCCTTAAATCTCTTCTTTTCTTGCCATCATCTCTCCTTTATGCCCCAGTAGTTTGAGCAATGTTATATGAACCCAGTTTGACAGAACAATACGAGTGATTGACATGCGTGAAAGGCGCTATCGCTCTACTTTTTCTTTTTTTCTTCTTCTTCCAGCAGCGAGGAATCCAACACACCACCAAGGTGGCTTTTAAAATTGTAATGCCTTCAATGCTTTGATGAACAAGTTTAGATCTTCAAAGGTTTTTGAAACCCCCTCTCAAAGAAAGATATTCCTCGATGCCTGACTGTTGCGCCGATGCTTTTTCATACCTTCCTTCTCAGACTGCACAGGTGGATACCTTTCCTTGTGTATAGCTTTACTTGGATTTGAATACAAATGTACTGTGTGCTTTTTTATTTGTGCTTTATTTTCAGTGGAGAGATATATGATTGTTTGGTCTCTCTGTTTTCTTTATTCCCGTCCTTTTGTTTTGATCTGACCTACACATCCGGCAATTGGAGGTTTCCTCTTCATTTAATGTGCCAACAAGTGTCAATTGTCTCAAGTGAGTCTCTAACTGACACAAACTTGTTCCCATTCCACCTCCTCTGTGTGTGCTCTGTGGCCATTTTCAAATCAGACACACACTTAAGCTTAATTTCCCTTCCCTCTCCCTGAGGAATTGAGCCTATTTTTTCCAATGGGTGGAAGGATACTTAGTGTGTTTCACTTTTTTCTTAAGCCATCAACAATGGTTTCAATGGGACCAATTTGTGCATATTACAAGTTTGCCACTCTTTTTTAGAAATGCAGCTTCGCTGTGACAGCAGTGTGGTCG